CCTCACACAGAGATTAATACAGACCCTAATACAGACCCTAGAGACACTCCTCACACACAAACATTAATACAGACCCTAATATAGATCTTAGAGACACTCCTCACACACAGAGATTAATACAGACCCTAATATAGACCCTAGACACACCTCACACACAGAGATTAATACAGACCCTAACATAGACCCTAGAGACACACCTCACACACAGAGATTAATACAGACCCCAGAGACACTCCTCACACACACAGATTAATTCAGACCATAGAGACACACCTCACAGAAATTAATACAGATCCTAATATAGACTCTCGAGACACACCTGACACAGAGATTAATGCAGAACTTAGAGACACAGCTGATGAACACAAATTAACTCCTAACACAAAGGCCTTGAAATACATTTAAATACAACCTACAGTACACATAGCAATGTACCTACAGACTACAATGTCTACTTCTGTATCACAGAATCAAGTCATGTAGTGCAGAAACAAACTGGAGCTGAAAAGGAACTGCTATCCGGTAGCTCAAGCAGTGTCGCAACTTGACAGAAAACAAAGGACACACAGCAGGCTTCCGTCAATAACAAGTCAAAGTAACCACAATTATTACACAACATCCTAGCTGCACACAGTGATCGTGCCAGAACTGGGAGTCCGGAGTCTGCTAAGGTGCATTTGGATGTGGCTTCTTTTCAAGCAGTTGATGAAGTAAAGGTAGAGTCTTCCTCTGCAGAAAAGCACGCGTGTGAGAGAGCACCAAGAGGGAACCATTCTCCTGCAGCCAAAACTAGCACTGCAGAAGCAAGCTGTTGAGAGGGTCTCTGTGCACTTCGTACACACTTTGTCTGCTGATGCTGCAGTATGTTATAAGGTGGACACGCAGGGCTGGTGTGGACTAGAATGGGAGACTGCTGGAGACAAGGGCTGCTGTGTGATTCTGTACTGTGTTATACAGGATCACGAGCTGCAGGACTAAGTAACCAGCTGCCTTAATAAAAAGTGATCTTTGGCAAATCGGGACGAGGAAGATGAGGGTGATCCTGGAACACGGTCAATCTGACCAGCACAGGGAAGCGTGATAGCCGACAGAAAAAGATTAAAGCGCTGTCCTAGTGTCATCACCTCGAGAAAAATACACCGAGCATCTCTGCGTGTTTCATTCCCCTGCGCGCGAAATAAAAAACGTCTTTTAACTTCCGAACACACTTCTTTTAACTGGCTTTGAGACGGACTCCTGGCTGGCTTTTTAAGGGGGAACCTTTCTCCAGCCCAGCCCAGACACGCAGGGAATGGCTGGGAAAAGGCCTCCCACCTCCCGCCTATGGAGACGTCCCTGGGGCATTGTTATCAGAACTGTGTGGTTACGTAATGCCACAGCGGGCAAAGGGTTTGCGTTCCACTTGGTCCACTCAGTTGCTCTCCTCCCTCCCCGGCCCGGCCCGCTCACTCACTCCCGTTGAAGGCCTGCGTGCTGTTGTATCTCCCGATCACGGTCGCCTTCTTGCTCTTGCTGTCCTCCTGCACCACTCCGGCGCTCCCCGCGCCATGGGCGTCGCCGCAGATACGGAAGTAGTAGGTGTAGGTGCCATCCGTCGAGCTGGTGGAGAAGCTGGGGAAAGAGAAGAGGGAATGCAGGAACCGATCGGACACACCTCCGCTGCCGGAGTGAGAGAGCGAGCGGGAGGGGTCCGCTCAGGACGGGAAGGGAGAGGAGGGGAGGAGCAAGAGGGAGAGACAGGAGGAGGAAGGGGGAGACAGGAGGAGGAAGGGGGAGACAGGAGGAGGAAGGGGGAGACAGGAGGAGGAAAGGGGAGTACAGGAGGAGGAAGGGGGAGACAGGAGGAGGAAAGGGGAGTACAGGAGGAGGAAGGAGGAGCAAGGGGGAGACAGGAGGAAGGGGAAAGGAGAGAGACAGATAGAGAAGTGGGTCAGGAAGGAGATACTCACTCCTGGTTGCTGATGGGCTCCAGCAGATTCAGCACTTTCTGCTCTCTATCCGAAATCCCCGATGCCAAAGTGCAGTTCATGTTGCTGGCCTGTCCCTTTCCAGTCAGGGCCAACAGGAGCGACAGGGAGGCCCAGCCGGCCAGTCGGAGTCCTCGACACATCATCTCTGCCTGTCAGGAGAAGCACAAAGCATTAAAAGACGAACTGTAACTGTGTGTCAGTAATGCAAGTCTGTATAGTCATGAGTGTATGAGACCTGT